ATAAAGGGAAAAGGGGGAAATGAAAGAAAATGTAATAAACAAGGATAAAAAGGCATGAAAGAAAGAAAGAAAGAAAAAACTGACAAAAAAAAAATTTATGAGAATATTATTTTGTTGTTCAGTGCATTAATGTTGGCAATCTGTCCTGCTCTGTCTAGAAACGTGTGTTTACTGTTTTGGATAAGCCAAAAACAAAAGCAAAAAAAAAAAAAAAAAAAAAAAAAAATAAATAAATAAAAAATAAAAATAATAAATAAATAAATAAATAAAATAAAAAACATAAAATAGGAATATCCTTTCTGGAAATAATAAAGTAAATAATTGCTCATAAATTGTCCACATTTCAGTTAGATGAACATCCCCAACACTCTACACTTGTCATATAGTACAGGTCATGTATAGATTAACATGGTTTTGCTAAGAATTCATTAAGAATGTCTTTGACTGCTAAGGAATTCTTGTTTAAGAACCTTGCAGTCTCATATGATTCAAGGATTCTTAGCAAAATGTGAGGAATTCTATCACATTCTTCAGAAGTCTTGCAAATTCTTGTAATGTTAATGTGCGCAGGAATGCCTAAGCCTGTCTGTATTTGCAATGAACTTATGGCATTGTTTATAAAAAAAAAAGATCTATGTATGACAGAGACTGTTCTTCAGGTTCATCATATTTTAAATTCCACTATATAACTGTGGCCTCCAACTGAAGCTATCTCCTTTTTGGATTTATTTAGCAGGACATTGACTGCTAACCTAATCATCCAATCCAATGAATTATATGAATGATGTATCAAATTATGAGAGGACCTTGTTACTTTGACAGTACCTTGACTTCTAACGGGCTTAATTAGTAGCCTAACAGTTAGGCTATCCCTACAATACATACTTCATTTGCATCTATTTTTTGTAAGCTGCACAAACTGACAACGAAATAAATTTCATAGTTTGACACCACAATTGTGTTTAACAACGCCAGAAACATTTTTTATCAACAAAAAAATCCATGTTACAAATTCCATGTCTTTGATTTTGATTTCATGTAAACCTTAACCTCTTTTAGTTCTACCTCGGTTTCCTATTTGGCCTCAAACTAAGACACTAACCTAGCAACCGGAAAACGCCGCAACTATAAACAAATGACAAATTAACTCATGTTAGGCTGGAAACAAAGGGAAAGCAAAAGCTGCACAAATTCAGCAGTGAGACGCGTTTGATAACATACCGTGTTCCGAACTGTAAGCAAGAGAGGTGTTAGTCAAAATTCTCGCCCGCACATAACTGGCAGACACACGTTAGAGAATTTAAAGGACTTATCACCCGCAGGTCGAACTGAGCTTACCTGTTCTAGGCCTACAATGACAAGATCCCAGCTAGGCCAGATCAGAACTGTTAAGCGAAAAATTGCACAACGCTGCCAGATGAGCCAAAGGAGGAAATCCCAAAAAGTGTAGATGTGACAGACATTGTTTTGCCATTTTGACGTTGTTGAATGTAAACAGTTTCCAAGCACATCGTCAGACTTTGGCTTTTCTTCCGGTTCCAAGGACAACTGTGAGAGGATCTTCGGCAATTATGACCGTGAAATGTTTATCTTATGATAGTGCAAAACTATGTAAAATGATTAAGGATATTGATATTGTGAAAGATGTTGCAAAACTCGTCAAGGCCAAAAGAAATGAAGATGAAACAGTAAGAAAAGTAATCCAAAAAGAAAAATCACTGAATGAAGAAACAGACTTTGGCAAGATCTATTGCTGATATTGAATTGGCACGCTTCACGTACAGCGAAGAGCAAAATTAATTACCCTGCTGTGTTTGTGTATGCAGTGAGACATATGATCATCATGCTGTTACTGGAATATTTTCATACCATCAGTCAAATGGTCTATTTCCAGAGGATACAGCAAATCTTCCTGAGAAATCCAGAAATCTGAAGAAACGTGTGAAAAGGCACATTAAGAAATCTAAGAGGCACATCAATGATTTAAAGACAGAACTAGAAAAGAAAAAATCTGCTGCAAAATATAAAGGGAAGTACTATACAGCTGGCATGACTAGGGCGACTCTGTATGGCGTTGTATTTGAAAGGACGTCCCTACAGTGATTATGGAGATGACGTGCTCAATCTGAAGCAAGATAAAGCTGAAGTAGGGAACATGAATCACCCAAGAAAATTCCCAGTTAACAGTCTGGTGAAGTCCAGGTTGAAGAGATTCATGTCGAGCAAACTTCCTCAACCAGGCCACAGACCCCTACTTGCCTTGTCTGCAGATGACAGAGGTTTTTCGGAGGGAGGGGGGAGGGGGAGGGAAGAGAGAATAAGGGAGGGGGAGGGGGGAGGGACGAGGATAGGGGAGGGGGAGTGTAAAGTGGCGTGAATATGGGCGACACGAACACCCTACAAGCATCACTCTCAACAGTTTCTTGGTGCAGTCACTGTTTTGCCTGCTGGTCAAAATCTCCTTGAGGTTATGAGCTATGGGCAGCCAATTGTAAAACATGGAAGTGATGGTAAAGCACTCACCCATAACTTTGATGACTTTGGCATTGCAGCTTGTCAAATACAAACTGCTGTATTTGATGGTATCTACTTCCACTGCATCATACAGAAGCATTTCAGTGATCTATATGGAACCAAAGACGGGGACCTATTGTTCAGCTATGACCCAATGCACAGAAGTGTACTGGTCGACACAATGTGCAAAAGGAAAGAATTTACATGGGTTGTAGAAGACACACATGTTTGCCAACAAGTTTTCGCCAAATTTAACTGGGGAGCCAATTATGAGAAGTTTGATGCAGCAACAGCACTAGGGAAGCTTCAAATGCGAAGTTTAGTGGGGTTTTCGGAGACAAGATTTGCCAACAACAGAAGGCAGGTGAATGTAAACATACATCATGAGTTCCCAGCACTATTGACACAAAGATGATTCTTTAACTACTTACACTTGCTGTTAAGTTACACGAGCCAGATGAAGAAAACAAAGATTGCTGAAACAGACTTCCTCAAGTT